TCTCCCTGGTTTGGAGTCTGATCTGATATACCCCCCTCGATTATGACCTGTTAATTTCGTATTTGTTCTCGTCATTTTCACTTCCCCGTATACTTTTTTTGTCATTAGCATTGTCTATATTGGATGTATTCCATGGCATTGACTGTGGACATCCTGTTGTTATGATAATATTCTTTCAGCACTATTCCCTTGGTTCGCGTGTGTTGGTTTATGGTTTATTTGGTCTGTGTCTTGTTTGTTGGTCCTCTTGGGATCTGGGAGGAAACGGATTGTTCGGAATGGACTTGTCTCCTTGGTTTCTTCCTAGGGAGATACATATCCATATCCCTTTTTCTTACTTACATATATCTTATCTATCTATTCTTGATAGACACTTGGTGAATCTATTCCACCTTATCGTTTGAACATGGCCTATGCAGTTCCTTAACAAACTTCCATTTAACCCATCATTTGTAAACCACATGTGTAGCCTTCAAATGTGCCTACAACATAGGTAGGTGCCTGATATCTGATTCTTAATCGATCATCCTGATCCACGCCCTGTTACTCCGTACATATTAAATGATATCCACTTCTGCCGAGTCTAACCGCGCAACCTCAATCTGGTCCACAAATCGGCAAATTTCAAGCTCTACCTTGTGGCTTTGGTCGAAATATTTCCAACGGCTACTCGAGCTAAGCGAAAGCTTTGATAGTTCGACAAATTCCAAGATATGTAATTAAGGGCTTTGGAGGTTCAAACAGTTAACATGATGACCTTTAAAACCAAGATAATTTCCTATTCTGAACTAGCGCCTTCCGAAAACATCCATGATGTATATACGGAGTTAATCACGGGCATATAAAAATTTCAATTAAGTTTCTTCGTAGAAGGATTCCCCAGGTGGATCCATAGGAATAAAACTGATATTTCACAAACCCATCCCTCCTCCCTCCTCCATCCCCCAAAGACGATAAAGCTATACCGCACGAAAATGGCAAATCCCCAATCAACAAGCACGGGAATCTCCCTCCAAGACCGAAACACAAACCTAGAAGAAAGACCCGCAAGAACAATCCAAAATGGCCCCTCAACACCGCCCTCAGAAACAGACATAATGCAACAATCCCTGCTAGCAGACTCCCAAGTCCCCGACGGCGGCGAAGCCTGGGTCGTGATATCAGGTTGCGCAGTGGTAACATGGTGGTTTATCGGCACATCCTACTGCTGGGGTATTCTGCAAGCGGCGCTCGTCAAAGAAGGCGTCTCATCATCGTCAACGCTGGCATTCGTCGGTTCCCTCGCAACAGCATGTATCTCCTTCCTGGGTATTCTGAACGCGCGCATTATCCGTAAGCTCGGGACCCGCAGATCGGCAATGGCCGGTGTATTCTTTCTCGGTCTTGGGGAGGTGCTGAGTGGGTTTTCGGCTATGAATATTGGTGGCTTGTTCGCTACAGCTGGGATTGTTATGGGAATTGGTATTAGGTGAGATTGATCCGGGTTAGAACTTTCTTGTTCTATATATAACTAGTTATATAACTAGTGCATATGTACACGTGGACGTGGACGCTGGCTGAATACCAGAGCTCCCTCCATGGCTGGGAAAATTGTGATACTAACCAGCACTACAGTCTTTGCTTTATGGTCGTCTCCGTCACACCGGCGCAGTATTTCCGAGCCAAGCGTGGAATCGCCAACGGCATCGTCTATGCAGCGGGTGGACTCGGCGGTGCTGTGATTAGCTTCGTGATGAATGCGCTGCTCGAGCGTGTCGGCGTGCAGTGGACGTTCCGGATTATCGGGTTTGCTACTTGGGCCACGGGCTTGCCGGCTGCGTATTTGATTAAGCAGCGGGTTCCGATTCCACCTTCGGCTGTTGTAGATTGGTACGTTCTACTACTACATTTCCTGGATATTTGCATTGCTTTTGCTTTGCTATACTGTCATTGTTAATCCCCGCACTAACGACCTCTACAGGCGTCTATTCCGCGACATCCGCTTCGTCCTCCTCTTCGCAATGGGTGCAATCGCCACATTCCCCCTCCTAGTCCCACCCTTCTTCCTACCCCTCTTCACAGCTTCCCTAGGAATGTCATCCAGCACTGGAGCAGGTATAGTGGCAGCATTCAATTTCTCCTCTGCGCTGGGAAGATTACTTTGTGGGCTGTGCAGTGATTTCGTCGGGCCGTTGAACACGCTATTTATTTCTCTTCTGCTCAGCGCGCTGAGCATGTTGATTATCTGGCCTATCTCGACTTCCCTGGGACCGTTGGTCGTCTTTGTTATTGTCAATGGTATGGCGAATGGAGGCTTCTTTTCAACCATGCCTACCGTTGTTGGGAATACATTTGGTTCGGCGAGGGTGTCTGTTGTTATGGGGATGGTCGTGACAGGTTGGGCTGGGGGGTATTTGCTTGTAAGTTGACTGGCTGTGTTTGATGATGTGGTTTTTATATACGGGCTTGCAGTAAGTACTAACTATGCATACAGGGCGCCCCCATTGCTGGGTTTATTCTTGATGCTGCTGGCGGAGAGAATAAGGGGGTTATGGGTTACCGTCCGGCTATTTTCTATGCTGGTGCAATGGCTCTTGTTGCCTCTGTTATTGGGCTTTCTATTCGGCTGAAGACTGATATGAAACTACTCAAGAAGCTCTAGGGTGGTTTACCGTGGGTATGCATGGTATAATGTTAGGGATGTACCACATGTAAATTAGTAGAATTTAAATAGATCAATAGACAAACAGAGAAATAGACAACACAGAGAAAAGAGGAGTCAACAAGCGAGGTATATAGATGGCCTCGGTTCAACCGGGGCCCATAGTTCCAAGTACTGCGAACTACGCCGCATCCGCCAGAACGTCAAGTCTTTTTCATCAATTCATATTCACCTCTTATTTCCCTTCTACGGATATTAAAATCTATTAAAATCTATCCAATTCAAAATGACTCTGACCCTAAAAGCAGTCAATTGCCTGAGCCGCCCAGCACTGCACTTCAGAAGCTTGGCCATTCCTCCATCACCAATCAAATCATGCATCGCGCAATATAGCTCCCATTCACCAATGGGCTCAACAACCACCAACACACGCAAAAAAGTAACAATCCAGACCATTCAAAACCTCTACAAAAAGAACGAACCCATCACAGTCCTCACAGCCTCCGATTTCCCTAGCGGCCATGTCGCCGACACAGCCGGAATGGAGATCGTGCTCGTAGGCGACAGCCTCGCAATGGTCGCAATGGGCATGGAAGATACGAATGAAGTAACAATGGACGAGATGCTCCTCCATTGCCGGAGTGTAAACCGCGCCGTCAAGAGTGCCTTTACAGTAAGTAATACTACCAATGCATACCCCATCCCGAATACATACTACACGCCACCCACCAAAACGCATCAACATCAAGCATCAACATCTCACAACCCCTATAGATAGCAGACCTACCAATGGGCTCATACGAAACAAGCCCCGAAAAAGCGCTAGCCTCCGCAATCCGGATGGTAAAAGAAGGCGGCATGAAAGGCATAAAACTGGAAGGCGGCGCGGAGATGGCACCGACAATCCGCAAGATCTCACAAGCGGGGATCCCCGTCATGGCGCACATCGGACTAACACCGCAGCGACAGCATTCACTCGGCGGGTTCCGTGTGCAAGGGAAGTCTGCCGCGGGCGCGGTGAAACTTCTACGCGATGCATTGGCCGTGCAGGAGGCCGGTGCTTGTATGGTTATTATTGAGGCTGTGCCGCCTGAGATTGCGGAGATTGTTACGCGGCGGCTGAGCGTCCCGACTATTGGGATTGGATCGGGGAATGGGTGTTCCGGGCAGGTGCTTGTGCAGGTTGATATGCTTGGGAATTTTCCTGAGGGGAGGTTTTTGCCGAAGTTTGTTAAGACTTATGCGGATGTTTGGGGGGAGGCGAGGAGGGGGGTTGAGGCTTATAGGGAGGAAGTTAAGAGTAGGGCTTTTCCTTCGGTTGAGTATACTTATCCGGTTTCTAAGGAGGTTTTGGAGAAGTTTGAGAAGGTTGTTGATGAGGTTGCGGGTGAGAAGGAGGAATAAATCTGCAGCTGGTGTATCTTTGGATATTTAGCTGTCTTTCAAGACAATCTGTATATATGCTGGAGGCTTTGAACAAACAGTCTTGACCTTTGACATGCTTTAGAATATACCAAGATATGAAAACCACCATCTCAGCAAAAAGTCCCAGAGTATCAAGTATCAATTAAAATGCAAATCCAATTCGTACAGAGCATATACAACCTCTAAACAACACCCAACGAATCCACGCAGCTTTTAAATAGAATCCAAGATCCCACCAGCCGAAACTTCTTCCATTTCACCTCAAAACACCACCAACACCAGCCCACCCAAGCACAAACCCACTAAGCGCCTCACTCATAACACCACCACCAAACCACACATCCCTCCAAGCACCCTTACGAAGAATCTTCCTGGGCCCAGCCTTCCCACCAAGCTGCATGCGCACAGCCTTACTCTTCTCGTCCATGTCAATAACACCCTCGATCTCGCCCGTGTTGCTACCAGGGAAGAACGAGCCTGCACCTGCACCGCCGGAGCGGTGGATCAGAACTGCGTGGAAGAGCCCTGATACTAGGATTGTGCCGAGGAAGTAGAAGGCGAAGCCATAGCCTGATTGCAGGGCTAGGATTCCGGCGGATAGGCCGAGGAGGAAAGAGGTTAGGCTGTGGAGGGAGGAGAGGACCTGTTTTTTTTTTTTTTTGTATTAGTTTGGTGTGGTATTCAGATGGAGGATGTGGGTTTGGATCTGGTATTGTGTATTGGTGTAGGGAAGGGAATATGGAGGCGGGATAGGGGTGGTTGGATGGGATGTGGGATGTGGGATAGTCATACGCGGTTGTTGTGTTGGACGGCCTCGGGTACGAGCGGGGTGATTAGCAGGGAGAGTTCCTGCTTTGTTGGTGCCATTTCGGCTGGCTTGTTGTCTTTTTATTCCCTGGCTTGTTGTAGTTGATGTTTGCTTTGAGAGATCGAGCTATGGCTCTCGGTGTTCGTGGCGGGTACTGATCACGTCTTGAGCGGAGGTTTGCTGAGCTTGACCAAGATTGCAGAGGTGGTGCTCTTCAATGTCGATGAAATTGTTGCACCAAAAGATATTCTCGTGGAGGGGTGGACACAGCAGCTTTCGGCCTGAACAGAGAAGGTCGGAGGTGGCAGCGAGTTTCTAGAAGTGCACGGGCCACGTCCACCTACGGAGGACTAACTACACCACATTCAAGAGAGCAACACCATTTAGGAGAGTAGTTTTCACGTAAATCAAATCAATCATGTTCATATCTACTATTAACCCGAATCCAATGTCCAATAATCCTCAGCCTTTCTCATGAATCTGTTCATATCACACCATTTGATACATTTATCCTCGATTATGCTGCAAAACATAGCAGAAAGAAAATGCGAGTACCATCATGTCGCTGACTTTAAATTCAAATATCACATTAAACCAGATTTTCGAATTTACCATCAACACGGGCCTCCTTGACCTGCTCAAAGACCTGATGGAAATGTTAATGGATGGTCAGAATCAAATGTCAAGCAATGCTTACCTTTAGCATTTTGTTGCGTGCACCCAGAGCGTTGACACCACGATCTTCCAGGGCCTTGTCATCCAGGTCGACCAGTTCCGTCCACTGGAGGTCCTTCAGGTTGTCGGTATACTTGTGCAGCCTGAGGGATCGCAGCCAGCTGGGGATATCCTTCAGAAGAGCCGGGTCTGTGGGGTCCTCGGGCGGCTTCGAGCTGCCACGGCGACCCCGCGGAGAGCGGCCTCGTGTAACCTCCGAGTGATCTGACAGGTAGCCCTCATTACCCAGACCAAACTGCCCGATGTTCAAAGAGCCCAATCCATTGCCCATAAGAGGGTTGTTGGGATCATATGCCGCCAGGAACCCATTGTTCTGCGGCGAGGTGAAGCCCATGGGGGTCAAACCACCACCTTGCATAGCAATGCCGGGCGATGTTGGGCGAGACCGTCTACCGGCCATAGCCGCCTGTTGCTGAGCCTGCAGAGCTACCAGCTGCTGAGAGTTGAGGAGCTGACCGGCGACCAAGTGCTGTCCACCCAGGCCTGGGCTAGCCAAGCCCTGAGAGAGCATCGGGTTTCCATGCGAGTTCTTGCCCTGACCATCATTGGAACGAGCACGGCGGTATTTGCGCGCATCATCCAGAGCGATGCGGTTGTTCACTGTCGACAAAGCTGCCAGCTTCATTGCCGTGGCATTGGCCACCATATCCGCGTGGGTGTTGGGGTTCTGGTGCGATTGCTGACCGAAAGTCGCGGTCATCGGAGTGTTGGTCATTGACGCCCAGCTGTGATTGCCGACGTTGTATGGTGAAAGCAGGGGGGCTCGATATCGGCAGCGGGAATATTGGCAGTCTGAGGGAGAGGCGAGCGCATGCCAGAGGGCTGGCTGAACTGGCCCATAGGCTGGTGTCCGGAGGATGACTTGGGCCGAGCGATCGGAGGCTGCGTGTCTGAAACACCACGCTGGGCCCACGGAGAGCCAGGCTGTTGGCCCAGAGCATCCGAATTGTTGTCAGGCGCCGAGATGGTGGGCGCCACGAATGAGGCACGATCGAAGACTGCGCTGTTGCGGTTGGACGGGGGTGCGTTGCCGGTTTGCTGGGTGAATTCGGCCTTCTTCTTCGCAATAGCCGCGGCAGCATCCGGGAACATCGCATTGATGGTGGAAGGGTCAAGGACAGAGTTGCGCTTCGCGCCAGGGGATGGCGGGGGTCGTCCGAGGGAGTTCCGGGAAGAGGTGTCCATATTAAGCTTCGACATAGCATCGCTCAGACGGCTGGACATGGCATCTAGACGAAAGATAGGTCAGTTATACCCTAGACAGGAGTGGACAATTTGTCATACCTTTTTCGCCAAAATTAGCAGGGGAGAGCAGGCCGGACATCGGGTGACCCTGAGACATTTGCTGCAGGACTTGGATGAAAAACCGAATCTGCACCTGAGTGGTCTGCTGTAGCAAGGCATATAGGGCCGCAGTTCTCTCGGCTTCACTCAAAACACGGAACCATTGCTCGATAGCACTGAGTTCATCCTTAAAGTCCTGATCAAGCGTGGCAGCTGCCATCTCTTCCAATGTAGTTTCGTACTGATCAATGTCCGAAAGCCATTGTTGAGCGGCACGGTCCAAAGCATCTTCCGTCGCGTTCTGACCTTGGGTTTGTTGGTTGAAAAAGACCTCCGATGATGGACGGATGCTTCGGGCGGACAGCGGCGAAGGAAACCCAGACATGTCTGCCGACGCCCGCAGCTGGTGCGATCCGAGGTTTCGCGATGAGGATGGAGGACGAAGGGTTGAATTTGATGCTTCAGGAGTGCTGTTGCGGTTGCCAATGATATGACTGGCCATGGTTTGTAAGGCGACGTGTTTTGAGGACTAGTAAATACAGTGGGGGAAATGATTACTGCAAAACACCTGCAGGACCTGCTGAGTTTGCGTAACAAATAAAATCAAAAAAAACCTTCAACCAGGATCCAGGCTAAGATCCTAAGGTATCAGATTGACGCTGAAAAGATCCAGATCTCTCACGTTCGATGACACAGACCAGTCCAGTGGGCTGCACCTCGGAAATTTGAGATTGGAAAATTAAGGCCTGGAACGAAAGGAAATTGAGACTTGAAGCAATAGTGTGTCAAACACAGTCAAGCCACCGAGTCCCAAAGAAGGAGGGAAAGGAAAGGAAAAAGGGGGAAGAGAAGAGGTTAAGTGGAGAGAGAGAGAGAGAGAGAGAGAGAGGAGAAGAAGAAGAGGAGGAGGAAGTCGGGGATTGAAGAAGTTTGGTGAAGAGGCTTTTCTGTTTCAGGCAGATCACGGGTTCACCGAAGAACCTCGTCAACATTCTTTCTTGACTTCTCCATATCTCTGCTTTTTAAGTCCAAGGACATTTTCTATTTGATTTTCTTTCTTGGCAATTCTCCTCTTGGTCAAATCTGAATATTTTCTTCAGCCCTGGTGGAGACACAGATACTATGAACATCTGCCAAGCCTAGACCTGAACCCGTTCCCAAGTTCAGTGTGCACTTCAACTTATACTGGATTGATAATGAACTTCACCTTGGTGATCCCACATTTCTGATGATTATCTTAAGCTATACCTTTTATCAGCAGTGGGAAACACTCCTCTATTGAACTTCTCTCTATTGAACTTTGAATCAGCAGTGGCCATGAGTTCCCAGCATTACCCGGACGGGATTCCTCCGGACGAGGAAATGCAGGAGGGAGAGTCAGCATATCCGGATATTGATGAAACAGTTCAATATCCATGGCAGAATGAGCAATCTTTTGACATCGGGGAGATGCTTGCCTCCGTGATTGATCCTCGTTTGTTTGGGGACCAAAACCCACAAATTCAGCCCCAAAGCATCAACCAATATCCTCAAGATCCTAGCAAAGGCCAAGGCGAAGTCGAAGAAGAGCAAGATGCCGATGACTTTTACCTAAATGAATATGACAGCCAGGGGTATCCCCCGGTATCGTATCCTCCCGTACCTGGCGATGAAGCCACGTCGGACGAGGACTTTACCTTATCCGGAGACGAAAGCGAGAGGTATGTACGCTGAGACACCGCATCTCCGACTTTATTTAACACAATAGTAGTGAGTCTGAGGAAGACGAACCAGCGGAGGATGATGACGATGATCATTCAGGCGCCAGTAGGCGCCGCCGTCGTGGAGGTGGACGCTTTTCCGGAAGATATGGCGCTCGCGGCGGAAAGGGCATCAAAAGAGGACCCCGCAAGCCGCTGGAGCCCAGTCCAGAATTCAAACATCTTCATTCGGGGGCTACCTCTGCCTTCATTGATGGAGACTACGAACGGGCCATTGAGCTGGTGATGCAGGCGATTCAGATTAACCCCGAGATGTTCGCTGCCCATTCTTTGCTCTCAGAAATTTTCCTCGCTCAAGGAGAAAATGATAAGGCTCTGGCAGCTCTATTCAACGGTGCTCATACAAGACCGAAAGATCCAGGTGTCTGGGTCAAAGTTGCTCGGCTCATCTTGGATCGTGCTGGAGAAGATCGGCAGTCCGCATTGCATGATGTTGCTTATTGTTACAGCCGGATCCTCGAGGTCAGTCCCGGCAACACCAATATTCGGTTCCAGAGAGCAGCTATCTATCGTGAGTTAGGCCACAATGGCCGAGCCGCATCTGAGTATGAGAGAATACTCAAGGACTGCCCACACAGTGCCAGAGCATTGCGCCATCTTGCAGAGACGTACATTGATCTCAATGACGTACAAAAAGCAGCAGATTATTATGCGGACAGCGTTGGCCACTACCTATCTCTCAACCCTGAGGATTCCGAGTTCACTTGGTCGGATCTCAATATTTACGTTGAGCTTTTTGGCTATCTAAAACAACCCCAAGAAGGGCTCATCTCTTTAAGAATACTTGCACGTTGGCTTCTAGGTCGCGGAAAAGACCCAGTGTGGGACGGCCACGAAGATGACGACAGAGAATGGGACGCCGATGATTCGCCTCGGCGCATCAAAACCGATGGTTTTATGCCTGGTCAGTGGCCCCGAGAGTCATACGGGCTTGGTCTTCCGCTGGAGCTTCGTATGAAAATGGGTGTTTTCCGCCTCAAAATGGGCGACAAGCATCACAGTGAGGCATTAGTGAGTTTTATGCTGGATAACAATGAAGATAGAATAAAAAATACTAACAAAATCCAACTAGCATCACTTTGAGTGGCTTAACCCAGAAGATGATTCTGAAGGTGCCCGGGTTTTCGACTATGGTGATCTTTTCAGGGAAGTGGCAGATGCTTTAAAACAAGTCGGTCTCTTCGAAGAAGCACTCCGATACTATACGCCCATCCAGCAAACCGCTGAGCATGCCGACATCAGCTTCTTCATGGCCATGGCTGATTGCTGTATGCAGCTGGGCAAGATGGAAGACGCTGAAAGCTGTTATCTACTCGTCGCTGAACACGATGCTAATCACATGGAATCGCGAGTACTACTCGCTAAGCTCTATGAGAGCCTCGGGATGAGCGAACAGGCTATGAAGTATGTCGGCGAGGCAGTTCTGATTGGCCGGCGGCAAACCCGCAGCCGGGGAAGAAGAAAGGACACCAGACTTGAACAGCTTGCCATAGAGTTCAAGATGGCTGGATCAGAACCCCTCCGGTCAATTGCACCCAAACCAGCACAAACAGCAACACTGATGAACGCAGCTCCTTCGGCCCCTAGCAAAAAACCTGGCGAAGGTACTAGAACTGATGATATTCAATTCTTGTATGCGAAGTTGTTGGAGTTGAATCCACAAGTCAAAGCTGGTGTCCCTGTAGCCATTGAAGATTGGCTGGACATTGCCGATGCTCTATTGCGAGATTTCCGGAACAATCGGGCGTTCTATCCGATGGATCGAAGTATTGCCTTTAGGGGATATTCGACCGGTGCAAGATCCAAGAACCAGACCAAAAACGGCACAATGATGGATGAAATGCAGCAAATGGCGGGCCGTCTTCAAGAAACCTTGGGTATGTCATCCTGCTCAAACCATTCAAATACACCGTGCTAATGTTACATTTAGGAGATGTCTCAGAGGAGCCCTTGCAAGGCGCCATTCCCACTGACTACCATGGAATACCATTTGATGAATGGCTTGACATCTTCCTGCAATACGCTCTACTCGTAGTAGAACAAGGCGAGCCAGAAGAAGCTTATGAGACCCTTGATTCTGCGGCGATTGCAAGTATCTGGTTGCACTCTAAGCCCAAGTCGCGATTGATTCATGTTTGCTGGTTCAGTGAGTTCGTCCAATTCACCAGCAAGTATTTATATACTAACACCTTTATAGCATGCGCTCTCCGCGCACGAGATGAAGAGACACTGGCCAATGAAGCCCGCTGGTTCATCAAAGAATACCAGTTTGTCACCGACACTTATCGACTTTTCTCCATGCTGGGCCACCTATGTGGCGACCCTCACCGATCCCTTTTTCATTCCTCGGGAAACATGAAATTCATGCTTCGCCAAATCAAGGCGATGGACTTCACGATCCCACAAGATACCCCTCGGCCCATCCGGCATTCTATCTGGAAAGAGCGCGCCACTCTATCAACACGGGATGAAGCCGGTGAGCCCATCGCCGCGAAATCGTTAGACATTGCTCTTCTCGTGCTCTATGGCCACATGTTGTACTCCGGAAACAGTTTTTACCCCGCGCTGAACTATTTCTTCCGAGCATACGCCCTAGATGACCAAAACCCGGCCGTTCTCCTCTCCATCGCCCTCTCATTCATCCACCATTCTCTCAAACGACAATCCGAGAATCGTCACTACCTCATTATGCAAGGACTATCCTTTATGCATGAATACCGGCTGGTTCGGGAGAAGCCAGGAACTCTTCTACCCGAGAAACAGGAGATGGAATTCAATTTCGCTCGTGTCTGGCACTCGCTTGGTCTGGCCCATCTTGCTATCGATGGGTACGACCGGGTGTTGAAACTCGGCGAGCAGATTCGAGAACAAGCCAAGCAAAAGTCTCTTCGAGAACCGACGTCTACAACTGATGGTGCTGGTGTGGTTACGGGCGATGACGGCAAGTCCCAGGAGACTTCATCGCCAGCTGACCAGCCCTGCGTTGAGGATTTCTCCCGCGAGGCCGCTTATGCGCTGCAGTGCATTCACGTTCTCAGCGGCAATACAGAGACGGCGAAGGCTGTTACAGAAAAATGGCTTGTCATCTGATATGAGTTAATGCTTCTATCTACTTTTCCGACTATTGTAATCAACTGATCTTCATTTTTTTATGTGTATAATATGAATTAGAACTTCAAAATCAACACTATCAAGTTAATCTACAAGCCGTTGTATTCAGAGCAGCCTTTGATGAATACATGTGGAAAAGGCCATGGGTAAAAAGTATTACAAAGTGTGTTTTTTACGGCCTTCCTTCATTTACATCTAAAAAGATATCCAAACATAACGTTTAGAAAAAGGACATGGCAAGGCCGCGTATTCTTGTACGTGATAAAGTGAGAGTGGCAACTCAGTTGAAGGGTCAACAACGGATGTATATGCAAGAAAGAATTTCGTTGTTTTTAAGGTTGAAGGTTTGGTGGCCTACGGTGGCAGTCCGTTGCATGTAATTAAACAGTATTAGATTAAATCAACATTTAATATGACATAGGCTAAGCATCAAGGGTATGTAATAGAAGAGTGGGTATTTGCCAGCAAGTCCACAGCAAAGGGGTAAATGCGTCGTGAATTGAATCAAATAGGAGTGGTCGGTGTGAGGTACACGGAGGATTGATGTGAATTAGGTATTCTTGCCCTCCAAAGCAGAATAGTAATATCATTCCAATCAGCGGCTGAAAAGGGCCTATTAAGCGCATATCCTCATAGCTCACTAATCATGCGCCTTTTCTCCCTCTCAAAACAGTCCAGACGATTGTCCGGCCTCTTCTCCAAGGGTCCAGCCTCCCGTTTGTGATTTTCATTGCAAGTGAGACCCAGTGGCATTTGGCGTTGAGGTTGTAGCGTCGAGCGCTCAAAGTCGATAAACATCACACAGCTGGCTTGCTCGTTCCAGGTCATATTCCCCGGTATGGGATCGCTATGAAGCACACCGAGACTATGAATCTTTCGCAGTGATATCTCTGCTTCTCGAATCATCTGATGGCGATCGAGCGCATGCTGACGGGCGAGAGTCCTTCCGGCGAAGCCCATACACATCAGCTGAACGATCTCCACGATACCATCATAAGTCCAAGTAACGCTGAAAACCCTCATTTTGGCTAATTGGAGACTAGTGGGTGCCGTGCCCATACTCATGCGACACTGCCATGCGCTCTCACGTGGAATCTTTGGCAGTCCGATATGTCCGTCACGTGTTGGAAACTGGCGCCCTTTGCTGATATAGTGGAGGCCTAGTGTAGCCTAATCGCAGGCGCAGATCCTACCTAGCTACGACCATCTTGAAAATTTAGTCGCACCGAGTGTCTCGAATATTGTTTTGCAGGGGTCAATCCACAAGAAAAAAATATGGGTAAGTACTAAGGCCGCTTTCCGTTATCGATGTCCCAAGAACGAACTAAAATGCAGGATGGTCAGAGGTACCGCATTCTTATCATTTACTACTACCCAAAGCACGCAGCCTGACAGCTACATTCTAGGCCCGCTGCCAGTTCTGCGGCGTGAGCTTTAACATTGCACGCAAACGCAAGGTGGGAGAACCTGACGTCGCCTCATGGCGATTCGCAGGCGAGTTAGGCGACACTCTGTGGGGGTACGAGCAGCCTGTTGAGGATCTTGATCAAAGCGAGTGCCTGAAGCAGGGCTGTGCTTTAGCTGTTATAGAACCCGAGGAGGAGGATGATCCGGTTAATGACCCAGCTTTCGTGCCCAAGAGCGAAGATTGCGACGAGTATGATCGATCGTATGAATATAACCCCGAGCACGAGTCGAACTCGGGTGACCATGATGGTAATGATTCTTTACATATCTCGGATAATGGAGATACGGTTGGCAATGAAGAAGACGACGAAGAAGAAAAGGAGGAGGAGGAAGAGTCACTTTACCGCAACTTCCTGGCACAAACAATCTACAACCAAATCCACTTCACTGGCGAACCCGTCGGCCCCTTTGTCTACGCATCCACATCCGTCTCCTTCCAAAAGGACATCCTGGTTCCATTGCCATGTAACTCACCACCAGACGGGTACTCCTTCGATGATCTCGAGCATATTCCGGGCCCCAAATGCCCCATGGCAGACGCCTACCCGGGCTCCAGGATCTCACTCGCGGAAATGCGCGGCTGTCGGACCGTCCAGTTTCTGGTCCATAAAAGCCTGGTAGAGGATGGGCCATGGCAGGCTGATGGACTGCATGAGCCCTGGGAGGATTTTGAAGAGTGGTTCCTCTCAGGACTCTCCGATGGTATGGAATCGCGTGATGGAGGCGTCCAGCGTGTCTTTCCGGCAAGGGGTGGCGTGACGGAGCTCTGGGAAGCAGATACCATTGATTTCCACGTAAGTTACCTTCTAGAACACCACGTCCAAGGAGCCGGAGGTCCTATATGTCCTAAATCTGATCCTAAAATAAAATTAACAGCCCGAACGACGTGACTCAACCGGTCTTGCCATGCCCTTTCACCCATGGTGCTTTGACATCTTCTCGCGTCAGTCAAAGCTCCGTTTCGGAAACAAGGTCAATATCGCTGGGCTGATTAATTGGCGAAACGCCGAGTGCAGATTAGATACCAATCATGACTTTCCAAGACACCCGGATGTCGCTAGGGCACAGCAGCAAGTTTGGATGCATGATCCGGATGCAGCGTATCTTGTTGCGAATCCTCTGCATATAACCGGGCTAACCGAGTTTCTTTTGGATGCGGCACAGGAGGGTGATTTTGATATCAAACTTGCGGATGAAGAATCTGATGCTGTATTGTTTGGGAATAATCCCACCGATCGCTTGAGCGCTCTACCACCAGAATTGCGGCTGCACATTGTCAGTTTCTTGGATTCTGGGAGTATTTTGAGTCTTCGCCAAGCCTCAAAGGCATTTATGGACCTACCAAATAATGTCTGGTATCGAATTGTGCGAGGACAAATGCCTTGGTTATGGGAAGCCTGGGAGGAAGACGAAATCAAACATAGCCCTTCTCCCTGGACGTTCAGGACCGCGAACGAAGTGAAGGCCGTTGAAGAGCTTAAATGCCGGTACACCGCAGTGTTGAGCGATGAATATAAGTATGCTACGGCCCCCGATAAAGTGGTAGACTATCTACTGCCTTGGCCTGCTGCGGTGATCGACCAAGGGCTCCTATCGAAGAACGACACAAACTGGTATCGCGTTTTTAGGAAGATCAGGACCCATTGGCCCCGGGTAAAGGGACTTCGGAACCGGGCAAGGATCTGGACCGACGTTGAGGAGGTCATTCGGCGGATTCGGATGCGTGACAGTGTTGAACCTTCTAACTAAAATGACAAAACTGTGCGAACATCGATGAGTAGTTAACTGTATTATTTATGCACATTTGTAACTATGGTATGCCGAGTACTCGTTGTCATATGATTTCATGGACCTTATCTCTACTATAGATATTCAACCTTGGGCTTTGATATATCCCCTAGTTCTTGAAGCCTGCATTTTCCTGGCTTTAGAAGCTGTCAATTCCCTCTCTTTCAAACTTTCAAATTCCTTCAATTATTCACTATTCATAAATAGCTTATATTCTATAGATTAGCTGACTGATCCCTTTTATTCTAATTAGCCCTCCGAATAAATGCTGATTTTGCCTTGCAAGCGCCTTTGTAAGGCTATCTGCTGGTGTAGCTGTAGTTGGAACCTAGTCTATATTAACTCTCTCTACCTTCTCTGACTTCTCGCCTTATCTAGTATCGATCGATATCTATATGACGAAGCTTCGTATAGGAGAGATCGATTGGAGCCGTCCGAACAACGCTTCCATATTGGTTGTGTAGCTCAAGCAACTTGAAGGGCTGTCGACCTTGGATGTAATGGTAACAGTAGAGCACGTTGCTCCATGCGGCCGATCGGGGTCCTGGGAACTTGTACAGCGGATGTTGTGTGTGTCTATAGTAGCAATATGCGGAGCAAGCTGTACTCTTACTTCAGAAATGCCTTGCGAGCGAAAAATCCTGGGTACTCACTCCAATCAGTAAACCAGTCTTGGGTATCAAGATCGACAACTGGGGTAGTACAAGCAGCTCTGGGGCCTTGGGTGCACCCATGACTGCGGGGTTGCGAAGAAGTGCTAGGTAGGTGCCCCGAAATTGGGGAGATCTTTGGGTTACTAGGCCCCAGCAGGATGATCAATACAATCAATGGCCTCGAGCAGTCTTATGTCGGAACATGCCCTTCTCGAGCGTGTCGGCCGTAGACACGTCGGGGAGATACCGGATACGGAAAGGTGGCTCGCAGATGCCGAAGTAAAATATTTGTAATAATTAGTTTCCGACCCCTGGCCGGGATATACTCTTTTCAGACTTACTGTATACGGGGGATATCCGGAAACTCCGGTTGTCCGTCAGTTCCACTCATTCTCTGCGTTGCTGGTATCTGATGCCATGACCGGTGATCTTTCTATGCTCGTAATGACTGACTGAATTGACTGCAAATATATACTGACGATCTAAGCTCTATAACGGACAGGTACTCAGTATATATCGGCCCTGAAGGCTTTGTAGGCTCTGTAGGCATCCGCTGTGGTCTGCAATCCTCCCAGGCTCCTGTAGCGTCCTCATGTGCCTCATATATCGCAACAATCTGAGTACACTTCCGAGACCAATCGTTGCATCTTGATGAAGAGCCCTTTCAGTCTGCTTTCAAGTTTCTTAAGGCTCTGAGCTTGTGCAAGATGATTCATTGATATCGCAAGCTCACGAGTGCGAGAGACAAAGGTCACCGAATACTTCAACTGCAACTTAATAACGGCAGCTGATACGACTTTGAATTCCTGCATAGTCTGAACTTGAAACTCGCCCAACCGTATTGCGCTGTTGCGGTCAAGACGCTTGCCAGAAGAATCGGACTCGGCGAAATCCACAGAGTCATTTTGCTCCTTCACGCGGCAGACGAATGCGGTGATGATTGCTCCCGAGAGGCTAGTGATCTTCTCGCCAATGATCCCAAGAAGTCCGAAGAACTTTATTCTGCAGTTGCAGATGCGACATGTCAAGATGTCGTTGCTTGCTGCCGTTGTCCGACGCAGATATGACAAAATAGCATACATGTTGCTGGGACTGGCGGATAAAATGTTTGACTCGATCTCAGAAAGGACGCCGAGGATGGATCCTCGACATTGGCAACTTGATGGGTCCGACCCCGATCTAGCTCGGCCAAAATTTGCTGCGATAAAATCGTCGCTAGCCGGGGCATCGGAATTTTGGCGTGACGACGAGGACGGTGAGGTGCGTGCATGATCAAAAGCCATGAACAATGACTGGGCATCGGCGGATGCAGGTTGAGATGCTGCGATGTCGCCTATGTCGTCCAGCACAGAATTTGCTGTTTCGGTCATCGAGTCAAAGGCCTCGGCACCGAGGGGAGCTGGATCTGCGGCACCCATGAAAACGTTCTTCTGTATATCGTCTGGCTGGAGATAGGCGATGTTGCTGAATATATCGTTAAGTTCGTTTTCGGAATAGTCAAGCTCACCGGCGAAGCTTCGTCCCTGACGCAAGTGGTCAAGGTTCGAGTGTTTGCCCTGGTTCACGCGATTAATATCTCGTGAGAATTGGGAGGCAGTGGTCACTACAACATACACTGCCAGTCGCATCGGTCTCAGCCATTCCCCACCCGCCGATCTCCTGATCGACGCCATTATTGTCCAGAGGGCTCGGAGTGTTGCTGGTGCCAGCTGCCTCGCTGGTGTTAGAGAGGTTGGCTTGGAAGTGTGAGCTTGACTTCGGCCGCGAGCTGTTGTTCTGGGCTGCTATTTGGTAAGAGCATTTCAGCGCCTGGCTTCTGCAGCGATGGCAGCCAGACCTGTGTCCACTGCAACGTAGCTAGTTACAGAGGAGTTATATTAGTAAGCCCACCGATGCTACGTAGTACGAGAAGGCTTCACCTTTTTCACTCGGCAGCTTTCACAAGCTGAATGTGAGAAGACGTATCCCCCTAATCGGCCTGCAGCCTCTCCTTTGGCATGTTCGATAAATTCCGCGGAGTTCTTCTCGGATCCGATCCTAAGAGTTCCAAACATTCTAGCCTAGCAAGTGATCTCAGGTCTCAGAGCGCTGTGAATAAGCAGAGACCTGAGCGCTTGCCTATATGTTGGGATGGGTATCACCTGACCCTGTGTAACAGGACTGTCGTCTCCTCTCCCTCTTCTTCTTTCTCCTTCTTCTTCAGAAGCAGTTAGCAGTTAGCAGTTAGCACGACGAATACAGTTGGATTGCTCTCTCTCTCTCTCTCTCTCTCTTCTCCTGGCTTCCCATCACTTTAGCTTTCGGTATGTACTTAATATTCCTTGCCAAAGTTTGGTTAAATGCAATATAGGCATCCTTTATACTACATAACTATATCTTCTTATATCTTCCCTAACTAGCACCCCACCCGGAAAGTGTGTTGGGCGCATATCGTACCTCTCTCCCTCCACACTTTATATGGCATATGGATAGCCATATAAAGCTAGGCAACTTCGGCATTAAGATTTACGGAGCAACCTTGTAACTGATAGATACTCTCGCTTTGTCCGAAGTTGACAAATTATGGTGAGATGCGCCCCATGCCTCTCGCGCCTCGCGCCCTGGTGCACGAAGCACCACCGGCCGCCTCCTCGCACCGGGGCATAACTCTCTCATTGGTTTATATTTCCTGGCAGTATACGAGATCCACTCTCACCATACAGAAACTAATTAGTTAACTATGGTTAACTATGGGACAAAACGAGAGTACCTATCAATTGCCCCATAAGTCTTAATGCCGAAGTTGACTAGGTTTATGGCTATCCATATGCCATATAAAGTGTGGAGGGGGAGAGAGGTACGATATGCCGACCAGCGGTGCCAAGCGCCCAACACACCTTCCGGGTGATGCTCAGATCCATCGTGGTCTTGATCTGCGGGTTTGCTGCAACCACGTCGAAGAAATTCTGGTTGATCAAGTACACCGCCTCGGCGCTAGAGCAGTGGACAAAAAATGCTGTCTCCGATTTCCCACTCCAAAATTGTCTTTCCAACACGGAAATCTTGGAATGTAGAGAGTATGTCGGTGAAGTTCTTGAGAGTAGCAGGTGCCGGGTCATCGCCTCTGTGCATATAGATACCATGCCCCGATACCTTCCCAGTGGTCACGTTGTACAGGATCGAGGGATCAGAGTGAGCTGCAGGGTCGCTGAAACCTACACCCCCCCCAACACATGTATGGAAGGTTGTCAGATCGAAGCGTGTGACAATACCAAAGTTGAAAGCACCGCCCTTCAAGGCCCAGTACAGGTCGGAGTTATGCTGTGCATTTGCCTCGCATACAGTACCGTTGGCGAGCACAACTCCGTAATTGGCGGCACTGTTCGCTCCCTACCCGTGGTCTTGGTCAATTAGTTCAATTCTTGACGGAAGTCACCGGCCGTTAACATACCGCTGTTGGAATAAGAGATACCACCACCAAGCAGAAGGCCAGACACTCCGACCTGTCAAAAAGCGTCCACCGGCAACGGCAAGACTGTCTTTAGCAAGTACTTCGTAAACGTCCAGTCAGCGGTTTCCTGCGCCAATCTGGACAACAGACTTGGAGTCGTCTGCGTACTACACGCTATTCAGGCTAGTGGTAACCATGAGCACGCCAGGGATGGGCATATTATGCCCTTGGGTGCGAACAGCAAAGGTCTGGTCAGTTTTACGATGGATAGCCAGGCCACCAGCTACTTCCTCGGCCGAAGCTGGAGCAAAAACACACGTGGGTGTGGTTTGACAAGTCTGAGACCAGGGCTCTACACCATCAAGTGTTAGCCTCCTATCCGGGTGGGGCTCTTGAAATACATAGGAGAGAGGAGACCATTACCAATCACATCTTCGGCAAATACTGAAGACCCAGAATGGATGGTACTGTTAGGGTAGCCTCGTAAGAGCTCATTGCATGCATCAGCGCGATGGTGCAAGACGCTAGCCGCAAGACCCTGGCTAAGATGAAAGAGACAGCAACAGTGCCAAAAAAGCCCAAAGAGAAAGCATAATGACTGTTTAGAAAAATACTGGAATTGAAATTGAAGTCATTAATAGCAGTAGAGATCTCTAGCATCTGATCACCAGGTGGGGTACGCTGAATAACTAGCTGGGTTTGTTCCAAATTGGGCTGACATTTCCGGTACTCTATTCCCGTGAGGACACTCTACCCGAATTCGCCGACCTAGGGAATTCCCCGGTTAAATCTGCAAACGCATGCGGTCCTCGGGCCGACACATCGAAACAGCAGGTTATTGACCGGGCACTTACTCGGACAGAACACCAGATGTGGCAGTTCGAACAAGTTTCATTCAGATCGTCGGCGGCCTACGTACACAATCAATTCAAGCTCCTTATAAGACTGGACGAGTTCCCAAACTCTGGTATTTTCAGACAGTATGCTGCCTAGAGGAATCGGATAACGCCTCGCACTTACTGAATACTGTTATACGCGAGTATAACCCTTTGAGCCCGATGAGCGTCGACATGGCTACCTTAACAGGAACTATTTCTTCTCTGGCCCAACCGTTCGTGTATCTTGAAAACACCAGCAATAGCCCTCCAGTCAAAGAGACAATCAGGCCCAGGAATGATACCACGATCACTCCGCCTCCTACTCAGTGGTCATACCTTTGCCATCCGCGACTGAAGGAGGTACAGGACGAAGTCGATGGATATTTCTTGGAGAACTGGAAATTTCCAAGCTTCAAAGCTGTTCGCACCTTCTTGGATGCCAAGTTCTCAGAGCTTACTTGTCTTTACTTCCCTCTCGCACTGGACGATCGCATCCACTTCGCCTGCCGACTGCTGACCGTTCTCTTCCTCATCGATGGTGAGTGCAAAAGGACTTGGGTTATAACGTACCCTTCATTGACGAGGTTAGATCTTCTTGAGCATATGTCTTTCGCGGATGGAGAAGCCTACAACAACAGATTGATCCCAATATCGCGTGGAGAAGTGCTCCCGGACCGAACCAAAACAGAAGAGTTTATTCTCTATGACCTCTGGGAAAGCATGCGCGCCCATGATACGGAGCTGGCCGACGAAGTTCTCGAGCCGACTTTCGTGTTCATGCGCTCGCAGACTGACCGAACGCGTTCGACAATCCAAGAATTGGGGCATTATCTCGAGTACCGTGAAAAGGATGTAGGCAAGGCGTATGTTTTCCCTCGGGATTCGAGCTCGTGATGCTGACTGTTCTGCTAGGTTGCTTTCGGCTCTGATGAGATTCTCGATGGGACTTAGACTCAGTGCAGATGAACTTCAGGGTATGAAATCCCTTGAATCCAACTGTGCAAAGCAGATTTCTGTAGTCAACGACATATACAGTTATGACAAGGAAGAGGTGGCGTCTCGGACTGGACACAAGGAGGGAGCCTCCCTTTGTTCAGCTGTAAAGATTCTGGCGGAGGAGGCCAAGCTTGGTATACCCGCAACGAAGCGCGTGCTTTGGTCTATGACTCGGGAGTGGGAGATTGTGCATGACGAGATCGTGGCTGAGAAAATTGCATTCCCAGACGGCTGCTCTGAAGCTGCTAAGGCGTATATGAAGGGCCTAGAGTACCAAATGAGCGGCAATGAGCAGTGGAGTAAGACCACGCGTCGGTACAACTAAATGTATGGACTCAGCAAGAATAGATCAACATGTTGGGTGTCTGGGTGCCTGAGGCCCAGGACCCACATGAGACATATGTAGATAGTTTTCCTCTCTCTCCTCTTCTCTCTCTCTCAGTCCATTTACAACATTACGAATCTGAATGCTAGGTTTTCTCCATAAGCTTTCTCAATAGATTCTCCATTAAAACATGAAGAGCGTTACGGAGATTAAGCTCAGGCAAGATGCCCAAAGAATTGTGTGAGCGGCTTACTGAACGTGCTAGGCACTAGCACAACCTGCTCACCACAACCACCAAAGGAACATCTCGACATGTGGAGCGAGTGCTGTAAAAATATAGGGCGGTCGTTTACGGTTCGTTATATAGATTGTCGCCGGCCGCGCTAGTTAAATACAGTTTGCGGATTTGGACGCGTACCCCTTGCGGCCACGGTAGATACATAGGTAACCTACCTAAGTACACAATAATGAACAGGAGTAGCTCACTAGACCTCAAGATAGCCCACAAATTGCGCAAGCCCCTAGCCCACAACCCAACCCACAGCCCATTGATGGGGGGCCGGCCCATTTCTATGCACAAATATAGTCTTGGCACGCATAAAGTAGCTGATTAATGGCTGTATTTTGCGCATATGTATATTCAGTATCATCATATTATTATAGTAAGAAGTAGGAATTCAGTAGATATTATATTGATTTTAGCATTATGGTACTAGATTTCGTACAAAATCACCCCAAAAAGATCCAATTTGACCCATGGACCACGAATTCGCACCTAGGAGGATTACTGAGTATCCGCATAAAGAGAGATATATATTATCCAGGGATAGCTTCATATATAGCTTAGATGGTAATTTGATCGGGAATTTTAATTGAATGATATTTAATTTAATCCAACTTTTGTTCAATAACGATGATGGTCAGATAATGGATTTAAGCCCACTATAGCAGTCGGCTGATGGAGTTAACCCTAATTGGGCGGTTAACTAACTGAATTTGTATCTGAACATACCCTTGTAGACACCCTTGGCACCTGGTGTTAAGCAAAATCCGAAATTAAGTCCGAAGTTCAAACAGTCCTTTAGCTCTTGACCCATATCTAAGTCATACCAGTGCAAGTCACTCTATTATCACTCCTCCCGCCCCTTATATAAAGCTCCGCCAAACATACACCTAGCACCCACTCTCAAAGTTAATCTACCAGCTATCCTCCATCACCACAACCACCATAATGGTCAATCCGCTCATTAGTAATCACCATGGCAAGAACGGCAAGTACACTCAGGCCTTCTTGGAGCAGAATGGGCCTGGAGACGCCCGACCTACAGCTCTTGACATTCTGGAGGACAACGACCGGATCGGTACCATGAAGGATAAGGTGAGCATCACTGCTGTTGAAAACCAGAACTGGAATTGACCATAACCAGGTCTTTCTTCTCACCGGGTCCTCTGGAGGAATTGGCATTGAAACTGGTCGTGCGCTCGCCGCAACTTATGGTAAAGTGTATCTTGGTGTTCGTGACTTAGAGAAGGGAAAGCAAGCTCTGAAAGAGATCCTCGAACCCGGTCGTGTAGAGCTGCTTGAGTTGGACATTGGCTCGATGGAAAGCGTCCGCACCGCAGCCAAGACCTTTCTGTCCAAGTCGACCCAGCTCAATGTCTTGGTCAACAATGCGGGTATCATGGCATCCCCAGAGGCGAAGACAGCGGATGGCTTCGAGTCGCAGCTTGCAATCAACTATCTCGGCCACTTCCTTCTCTACAAGCTACTCGAGCCGACGCTCTTGTCTAGTTCCACGCCCGAGTTCCAATCCCGCGTCGTCAACGTCTCTTCCGCTGGCCATCACATGAGCTCCGTTGTCCTCGACAACATTAACCTTGATGGTGAGTACGAGGCGTGGAAGTCATACGGCAGTGCCAAGACAGCTTGTATTTGGATGACGAACGAGATCGAGCGCCGATACGGGTCAAGTGGTCTACACGGCCTCTCGTTGATGCCTGGCGGTATTGCCACAGGCCTGCAGCGCCACGTCGACCCGGAAACATTGAAGCAGTGGAGTTCGAGCGAGCCTGCGAGAAAGTATGGCAAAACCCCGGCTCAGGGCGCCGCCACGACCATAACGGCTGCATTTGGTAAGGAATGGGAAGGCAAGGGTGGTGTCTATCTAGAGGACTGCCAGGAAGCTGGCCCGGTCCCGGAGGGTGGTACACTGGCGGTCGGTGTTGCACCACATGCCTTCGATCCGGAGGGCGAGAAGAAGTTGTGGGCTTTGTCTCTCAAGATGTTGAACTTGTCAGAGTAGGGCGCAGGAGGCACATCTATTGAGGACGTTTTGACACCCTCAAATATTGGCTACGGAGACTGCACCCTAGGCCTACTCGCCCCATATGAGAAGTCTGGTTTGGTTAGGGCTTGGATCAGGCAGAGCCATTCCCTCTGTGGGGTTGACAAAGCTTCGGCGAAGGTCGTCAACAATCATTGTGTTCATGATTGTTTTCCCTGCCCCTGAATACCTGGGAAAAATCACGCCTGCTCTGAAAGTACTTCGAATAGGGGGGTCGTCAGGTTGTCAGGTCGTAATAAATATGCACAGGGACTTCATTGAAGAGCCGGGTTTCTTCCGAGAAATGCGGATGCCTAGGTATTCAGCACCTTTCTCTCATACTGCCTGTGCGTATACTCTTTCAAGACTATTCAAGACTATCTCCCTCAAGCCTCCTAATGAGTATTGATGTAAAACCACCGAGTAGTGATCCGAAATTGTGATCAAGATAAAAGGCCTCATTGGTTCTAGGGCTCTTATAGAGATCTAAGGTTATAGTTAATAATAGAGGAATACCGGGGTAAACATTTATATGTACAATATAGGGAGGGTAGGTATTAATAGCGGATCTGCCCGCAAGAAGGTGGGGGGTGCGGAAACGCATGCGGAAATGGGTGGAATTGAGATTCTTGTTAATCAATATCTCGCGCAATACATAAGCTTTACGGCTATGAATTAGTGTTACTGGCTCAGATATTTCTAGTCTGCAGGTCGACGTGATAATTTTCTTCAACATGCTCCGGCCCTATTTCGCATAAATCTCCTAACCCTAATTCTCCTGTCTTTCGGCCTTCGTTGATGTCATTGAGTCATTTCGATAAAAAAGAGCACACGGCCACCTAACATCTCAAGCCTTAGCAAATGACTGTAGAGGGCACCCAAAGAGTGGGAAACCATTCCAGCTCTCAAATTGAAAGTCCTGCAGAACTATTGCCGATCACCTCGGCACACTCCAATTCCCCCACGGTCCAGGGATTTGGTGAAGACGAGAAAGGCCATGATGTCAATGTTGAAATCTCGACAGAAGAGTCAACAGGGAAACGAAAGTATTGGAGACGCTTTATCGATGTTGTTTCATGGACACCGCCGCGATGTCGGTGGAATACAGAAAACCCGACTAAATTCGGCTTGCCTTTGAATATCCTGTTCGCATTCTCGGGAACTTTCACGGTATGGCATAGAAAAGTATCAAGACATGCCATAATCACTGCTAATTTAGTTGTACAGGTTGCCAATCTATACTATTCACATCCCATTCTTGATGTTCTTGCCCAATTCTTCGACGTCTCGCATGAGCGAGCCTCATTGATCCCGACCTGCAGCCAGGCTGGATATGCGACGGGATTAATCCTTCTTTGTCCCCTTGGGGACTTAGTTCGAAGAAGACACTTTGTTTTGCTATTAACGCTTGTTACTGCGGCATTGTGGATTGGTGTCTGTATCACCAAGTCATTCGTGGTGTTCCTTGTCCTAAGTTATCTGTCTTCGGTCACGACTGTCACTCCAGTAAGTGGTTCCAAGCAAGCAATATCCAATACTCTGGCCAGAACACAAAACTTACTGTCTATATAGCAAGTCATGCTCCCTCTCGTCGGAGATCTCGTCCCCCCGGCTCGTCGTGCAACGGCCCTATCAATCGTGTCTTCAGGACTGGTCCTTGGCCTACTCTTCGCCCGCTTGCTCTCAGGTATAGTCGCCGAATACTCACACTGGCGAAATATCTATTGGCTATCACTGGCCCTCCAATTCCTCATTTTCGCCCTTCTATGGCTGTTCATGCCGGACTACCCGTCAACAAACACCAACATTTCCTACTTCAAGATCCTATATTCCATCATCGGATACTACTGGAAATCCCCAGTGCTTGTTCAGGCAACTCTCATGGGATTCTTCCTCTCGGCCACATTCACCAGTTTCTGGACAACGCTCACATTCCTCCTATCCGGCGATCCATACAACTACCCAACTCTGACAATCGGACTATTCTCTCTGGCAGGTCTTACGCCCATGTTCCTGGGACCACTCTTCTCACGGTACATGATCGACAAATTCGTGCCGCAGTTCTCCATCCTCGTTAGTTTTAGCATCATGATCACAGGTATCAGCATCGGCACCTATACAGGCACTTTTACTGTCGCGGGTCCAATTCTCCAGGCTGCGCTGCAGGATTTCGGTCTGCAGATGAGTCAAATTGCCAATCGCGTTCTAATATACAGTGTTGCGCCCAAGGCGCGGAATCGGATTAACACCGGATACATGATTGGCGTGTTCTGTGGTCAGCTTATGGGTACCTCTGTTGGGAATCGTCTGTACAGTCAAGGGGGCTGGATTCTGTCGGGCAGTGTCAATTTGGCATTTATTGCGGCGGCGCTAATTATTTGTCTTCTTCGTGGCCCGGCTGAGAAGGGGTGGGTTGGGTGGCATGGTGGCATTCGTATCCGACGAACAGAGTGATTTCCTGCTGTTTTTATTTTATTCCGTGGAATTGGAGTTTTCTTCCTGTTAATATGCTTCGCACGCACTATGGACTACATGTATATAGAATCTTAAAAAGTATCAATCCTCTTCTACGGCAGATTATACCAACTTCATTTGAGATTTAATAATCACAGCACACATTAACGAGCTTATAGTTAGTTATAGGAGAACAACAGTAGTTATGCAATTAGATACTGTATTGCTTCGAACCAATCTACCGCCAGTCTAAATCTGTTTCTCGTACACTTAATAAACTATCGAAAACGAATTTGACAAGTTATCTATGTTTTATGTACGATGACGTTAACAAGCCCAGTTCTCAATTCGGGGCTTGCAGACTAATTTAACAATGTTACATTGGACGAGCGCCTATCAGCTAACAATTACAGCTCGATATCTGCCTATCTTTCCCTCAAAATTGTAATTGTACGTAAATATAGCTAGCTAGTAACCTGTTGCTACTATCTGGGCTCCTTCCAACTAACAAAAAAAAAAGCAAAAAGAGAAAGATGGGTAGATCGAGGAATAACCCCACTGTAAACTTATTATCGGGAAAAAAAGAATGCATCAGGAGGGAATCGAACCCCCCTCGCCAGTTAACTTGAAAAGGACGAATCCTGATCATGGAAGACTAGCATCATAACCACTAGACCACTGATGCAGTGGAGATATTATCCGGTCAACCGTTACGATACATCAATAGTAAAAAGGTCGATCATCGTGCGCATCACCCCCGAGCGATTGGTCCACAATACAATTCACAGAATAACTAATTATTCTAACTTGAAGGCTATCTAAAGGAGCCTATCAAAATACCTAAATACATGTACGTATATCTTTCGTTGTTGTGTGGTACTACAATACATATCTCAAAGCAAGACTATGAGCTCAACCTAACTAGGTAGCTCGGTTGCCTCGTTTATAATTCCGTCCGCACTCATTTTACAAGTGCTTCGAGTTGTATCTATATAACCGTGCAGCAGTGTTTGGAGTATTGTTCCGATACAGGGGTGGAAAGGTATATGTAAGTTTAATATATCCATGGATGTAAATGATCTACATCTAGATAATACATAGATGACAACCTTGGAAGAACCGGAAAAAGAAACTAGCCATTATGAGTTACTAGCGTGGGGCTACTCATTATTTATTTACAAATACCTCAACGGCTTTGTTTAATTTTAAAAAAAAAAAAACCAATTTCCTAAATCTCTAGTGCTGAGAACCTTGGAAGCCATTTG